TATTGTGTGTGTGTATATATATATATATATGTATAAATTATAAATTAATGGAGATATCCCATCTCCTAGAACTGGAAGGGACCTTGAAAGGTCATCGAGTCCAGCCCCCTGCCTTCACTAGCAGGACCAAGTACTGGTTTTGCCCCAGATCCCCAAGTGGCCCCCTCAAGGATTGAACTCACAACCCTGGGTTTAGCAGGCCAATGCTCAAACCATTGAGCTATCCCTCCCCCCAAATATAGTATATATAATATAGTCTTTTGCCTGGTGAAAAAAATTTCCCTGGAACCTAACCCCCCCATTTACATTAATTCTTATGGGGAAATTGGATTCATTTAACATCGTTTCGCTTAAAGTCGCATTTTTCAGGAACAGAACGACAGCGCTAAGCGAGGAGATACTGTATGAAGCTTCTCTGTCCCTTGACCTGTTCTGGGGGCCGGGCTCTGTCAGAGCTCACAGGGGCTGGCTCAAGCGAAATTTCTGAGCTCTCCAGGAGTGCAGCTCTCTATTCCTGCAGAGTTTAGGAGCTCGCCAGAACTGCTGCCTCCTCCAGCCCCTTAGCAGCCGCTTCCTGCAGGTGCACCCCAGTGAGCTCTGCCCTCCAGATCTGTCCCCCCGCACCCACACCCACACACAACCCACTTCTCTAGGAGCACTGCGAAGCCAAGGGGGGTTGGGATGCCTGGGAGGGAGCCTGCAGAGTTTAAAAGCAGGTTCCTAAGCTTGGGAAGGCCTAGTTTATGGGTAATTAGTTTGTAATTACATCTTCGTTAGAAGCATCTTCCTTATAGCCACAGGCAAATCATCAAGTTTGAGCTGAAAATAACCCCTGGCAGTCACAAAAAGTATCTCGCCTTTGATCTTTAATTACTTGTAATTTTGCAAGGAATTAAATTCTTAAAGCCAAGTGATAACAATTTGGCACGTCGTCTTAATAATCCCTTCCTTTGTGTCTGTAGCAATAGCAAGGAGTACACAGACTAGATCGCAATTCTCCTGGCACGGCGTATCCGCCTCGCCTTCCAAACAGATGTCCTTGTTCCCCTGTTCCCAGCAACGCACAGCGCTGGCTGGGGGAAGAGCTCAGTGAGGGGCAGCAGCAGGAGGAATCCGAATGAAACTGGAATTTGAACATGTGCCGGATGTGGAAGGAGGGTCACGTTCTGCTCCAGAATGTCACGTCCCGGGCAGAATTAGAAGCCCCTGTTCCTGCTGGGCCGTGGGGGAAGCTGAGAGCCCTGGCGCAGGCTGTGTGCCCCCATTCCTGTCACTGCCCCCTCCTCCCCGGGTGCGTTCGTGCTTCCCCCCGCTTTGGAAGCAGCTACTTTCTCCTCCGCTTCCTTCACCCCGCCTCACAGGCTCCTGCCATGTGTCCCAATCAGAAAGTGGGCCCAATCCTGTCCCTCCTCCACCTCCCTTAGTCTGTTCTGGCGAGGGAGCTGGCTCTGAGCCCTGCCCTCCAGTCCCAGCACAGGAAGCATGACAGGAGGCGGCTGGAAAAAGAGATGTGATTTTCTGAGGGTGGGCGCTCAGCCCCTGTAATGTGTCTCACCCACAATGGAGGCTCGCCACATGGCTAGTCCCGTGTGGAAAGGTGGCTCTGCTCTTTGGCTGGGTGGAGGCAGGGAATCCAGGCCCCAAAGGGCGTTTATTGCAGCTGCTGTGCAGGGAGGCCGGTTCTTGCTGCAGCAGCACACCCGCTTACACTTCCTCCTGTGCCGCCCCTTTTGGCTTTAGCTGTGGCTGGGGTTTGAAGCTGGCTGTGGCTTGTTGGGGACACACCGGCAACTCTGAACTCCTGGGTGGCTGCGGGTTTCTGTGCCTGGTCATTGTCATGTGCAGTGCCTTGCCTGCAGTGGGACCGTCACGTCCAGCAGCACCAGGGCGCTGGGGCGGCGAGGGGCTAGTGCAGGGCATTCGCTGGCGGTGCGGAGTGGAAGCGAGGCCGTGGCTCACAGCTGTGTATCTGACAGCACACGTGTTTCATGAGAGACCCAGAGAAATTGTTTTTCACCCTCTGCTTCCCCCAGCTACCGAGTGGTTTGTGAAGCAGCCTGGCCGGGGCGTGGTGGGAGACCCAGCATTCCTGCACCCCTCTGCCGAGAGCCTGGAACAGGCCAAGCAGGAGTGCCTCCGTGAGAGGAGTGTGTGCGCAGGCGTTCTGCAGGCTGGGACAGGCGTCTACCTGATCAGCTCCAAGGCTGGCATCATCTCCCGACCCAACTCCACACTCTACATATGGACCAGTAAGAGCAGATCCTCCCATCCTCATAGCTGCAAAGTGGTAGCATGGCCTCGTGC